GGGGCTCACAGCAACGCGGGGAGCAGCCCCCGCCAATTCATGTGCACCACGTACTCTGGGAGGGGGCATCTCTGGGGCCTGCTCCTCATGTACATCAACTGCTCTGGGGGACGATGGGGGTAATAGTGCAAAGGAGGGTGGAGAGGCTGGAGGTCTCCGACCGCCACCCTTAGGGCACATACGGCGGGTCTAGACCCCTACGTTGCTCAGCCATAGCCAGGGCAGTCCTGGAAGGAGGCAGGGCCCAGAGTCCAGCCCCTATGACAGCCACTCGGGGTGGGGGTGGGAGGCAAGGCTGCAGCCTGCAACCAGTTCCAACAACATCCCATTGCCATGGGAGGGGGTAGGGGAGACCCTGGCACTGGATGTGGATGCTGAGCAGGTGGGAGATTGATGGAGAGAGCTGGTCTCAGCCACCCACCTACCCCCAGCCCAAGGAGTCTCAGTGTCATCCCGTTCCCACCAGGCCCAACTGGCCACAGCGCCCCCCCCCCCTTTAGGCCCAGATGGTCTCAGCCCCTGACACCTTTTTGGCACTCACCTGCCCAGCAGTGATCATGGAGAACAGTCCCCAGCCCTTTGCTGGGGCCCCATTCCGGGCAGGGTGGGGCCAACAGGGTGGGGGGGAAGTGGTCTGTGGTTGAACAGAAATGCCTGCAGCTGGCAAACAGCCCTAAGTGCTCTAGGGCAGAGATGGGTGGGGAATGTGCTCTCTTCCCTCGTGCCCTGCCCCCCCCAACCCTTTCCTATCTCCCTCTGCATTGGGGGCATGTCTCCCCAAGAGTCAAAACTTCCTTGCTCACTAATCTAGAAGACCAGATGCTTCTGCACTACCTGGTGACACCAGCTCCAGCAGTGCATGGGGGGAGGGGCACCCCATGCCCAACACATGGAAGGGGTGGGGGCAGCACCACAGTGCTTCCTAAGGCATTGTAGCTCCATGTGCACAGTGGGGGCATCTGTCAGGCCCCAGGCTTTGCTCTAGTGCAGGAGAGCAGACTGGGGGTGCCATTGACTTGTTTAGATTGGGGGAGGAGCAGATGGACTATGTACAATGGGTTCTATGCCCACCTCTGGCAGGGGAATGGGGTCTAGTGGTTAGAGTGGAATGTAGTGCACAGGCTGGGAGCCAGGACTCCTGGGTTCTATTCTCAGATGGTTGTGAGACCTTGGGCAAGCCAATGGCTGAGTTTTCTCTCCACAAATGGGGCCAAGCCCCTTTGGGTCCTAGTTTTGTAGAGAGGGTGTGTGGGGTCCTGCTACAGTTATTCCTTTGCTCTCTGGCACCCCCTGATGTACATATCAGGAATTGCTGGAGTATGCAGCTTAAACCTGCACATGTGCAAGAGCTGGCAGAGCATATATATAATGTGTGATTTTCTGCGTGGCAGTGCCACTGCAGTGTGTGTGAGCTTCTGTGTGTGTTTGTTCATACCCAAGACCCAGCTAAGTGAGTTGTCAGAGCATGAGTGCAAGAGCATGTGTGTGTTTCTGTATGTACTGGCTCAGTGTGTGTGCTTGCACATGCTGGCTCTGTGGGGGGGGTGCATGCCCACCTTGGGTGGGTGTGTACATGCACACTGTGTGTGTGTGTGTGTGTGTGTGTGTGTGTGTGCACGCGCGTGCATGGACTTGCTGGGGTGTGCATGCACATACTGGCTAAGTGGGTGGGTGCATGTGTATGCGCACATGTATGCATGCACACGGGTGGGTGGATGTGTGCACACACTGGCTGTGTGTGTGCTTGTGTGCATGCATGCACACAGAGTGGGAGGGCTTCTGGCTTGTGTCTCTGTGGGCTCACTGCCCTGCTGTGATGCCAATTAATCACTGCGGCTCCCAGCAGCCTTGGATCCAATTATGGTTAAGTGCAGCGCCGCTGCCTGAAGGGGGGTGTCAGTGCCTGCCAGCTCCCTCACCCCTGAGCCGGGAGGAGAGCAGTGTTGGGGGGATGCTCCTAGAGTTGTGATAAAAAAAGAACAATCCTTTACATTTACAGGTTATAAAAATGCCATAAACCAAGGAACCTAGGCCTCCTGGCACCCAATCCCTCCCCACCCTCTAAGAGCTGGAGATAGAACCCAGGCATCCTGGCATCCAGTCTCCTGCTCCAGCCCACTAGGACCCCAGACCCTTCCTGCCACTTGGAATCTCCTCCCCCGCTGCCATGTTTGTGTTGGGGGAGCTATTTTTAGCACCAATTCCCATCTCGGGTGGTAATGAGCAGCTGTTGTGACTGGGAGGGGTAGTTCCTGCCCCCTTCCATCTCCTCCCTAGGCCCCTTCACTCACTCTCCTGAATGGCAGCTCTGGCAGGTGGGGCAGGGACTGGCCCAAGAGAAGGTCAAGTCACAGCACTGTCCCCCTTGCCCTCCCAGAGCAGGACAGAACCTGGCTCCAAGGCAGCACCCAGCGTGGCACAGCTCAAGTTTGGGGTTGAGGTTGGGGGACCCATGAGAGGGGATGGAAGAAAGCAACACAGGCAGAGGGTGTTGAGTGTTGTCTTTATTGCTGGCTCCCAGCTCCAGGCCCTCCACAGCCAGGGAAAGGGGGGAGTGGAGCAGGACACCCCACAGCTCCTTCGATTCCCATCCAGCGTACGCAGGAACGGGGACACACATATTTGGGCTGTCATTATAATTAGCAACAAATCCCCAGCATGTTCCATTCACCCACCCATGATTAAAAGAGGTGCAAGTCACTGGGTATTTGCACAGATGCCCTGCTATAAGTTATAAAGGATTCTTTAAATTATAAACAAAAATGCCCCCTAAACAGCCAGCAAGTATGTGGCAGGACACCTGGGCTCCCTTGGCTATGGCAGAGAAGGTGCATGTCCCAGGCAAAACAGCATTCACTGAGGTGCAGCCATTGGGCTTGGGTGAGAACCCAGGAATCATGATTCCCACTCCCTCCTTGGTTTAACTACTGGATCCTACACCCCTGCCAGAGCTTGGGCTGGAATCCAGGGGTCCTGGCCCCCACACATGCTGGCTCCTCAAACCAAGAAGAAAATAACAAAACTCTCCATGGGGAAGCAATGGGCTACTTGGGGGTTAGCACCAGGTAAAGCGCACCTAGGGGCGAATGAGGGGAGGGGATTGCAGCTGTGCAGACAGATATCAAAGCTCTGTGTGAGTGTGTGGGTGTGTGTGTGAATTGACTGTTTATTTTAAAAGTCTCCATAGGGGAGGACTGATCGCCCCCAAATTGAAAACCACACCAGAGCAGCAAAGGCAAGGCACCCACCCCAGATAATCACACACAAAGGGGGGGAGGGATGTGGAGCAGGGTGCCAAAGTGATGCACTAGGGAGGGGGTCACAGTGCTGGGGGCCTGCTAAGGACAATTCCAACCGTTCCTCTCCTAGGGAATTCCCACACCTTTGGCCTAGTTAATAAATGGAGCACCATGGGATTTTAACCTACAGAACATGTGTGTCCCAAAACACAGCTGGGTGTTCATCCCCTAAAGGGCTGGATGGGGGAAGTAAAATGGAGGATTTCACACCCTTAAATAAATACCATGCTATGGGGGCCTTGGGGGAGAGGAGGAGGAGGAGGAGGAGGAAGTTAACCCTCCACATCCCATTTCTCTGGCCTTCACCCTCTCAACCCCATGGAATCTGGGAGCGGACAGGAATCTACATGTCCCCCTGCTTATCCTCAACTTGGCAGGAATTAATGGCCAGTTCTTCCTGGTAGGGTGCAGGGGGATCCCCATGCAGAGAGGGGAAGGGGTCCCCACATACAATGGGAGAGATGAAGATGGTCTGGGCTGGAGGAAGCCAGCACATTGTCTGTCATTTGTTGGAACCTGGTGGTGCTTGGCTGGTGGAAGGGGTTGGGGGGCAGAGGCAAGCAGGCCACTGGGGGGCTATTCATGGGGATCATCAGGTGCAGGGATTTTGTGGCGTGTGGGCTCAACCCCCCAGATCTCACGGGCGTACTGCGCGATGGTGCGGTCGCTGGAGAACTTGCCCGAGGTGGCAATATTTTTAATGACCTTCTTGGTCCATTCCTTGGTGTTCTGGGGAGAGAAACACAGGTCAGTGACAATCACACATGGACTGCTGGGAGATGGGGCTGGTCAGGCCAGATGGTATAGCTGGATGAGTGCCCATGGGGCTGGCCGGCCATACATGGGAATGGATAGAGGGGCAGCATTTACGGGGGCTGGCTAGAGGCAGGGCGGGAGCAGGGCCAGCCAACCAGCCTGAGGTGGGGTGGGCACAGGGCTGGCTGGACAGCTAAAGGATGATGATGGGTGGATGAATCTACCAGTGACTTTAATACAATTTGAATAACTTTAAATAAAAATGAGAGTAGAAGGAAATACAGACAGACACACACGTTCCCAATGCCCAACCATCAGGCCCAAGCTCAACGGGGTTTATCTTTCCATTTCTCCCTGTGACTGCACTCCTACCCCCCTTCCAGTGACCCTGCAGGATGGGGCTCTCACCTGTGCTGGTCAGTACTTCTCTGGGATTGAAAGGCCTAGAGATGAGCCGGGATGCCCAGGAATAGAACCCAGGTATCTGCCAGCCTACCCCCACCTCTAACCCACTGACCCCACTCTCCCAGCAGAGCTCGGTGCAGTACACCTGGGCAGCCAGGAGGGGGCGCGTGCTCACCTTGTACAGGGCACTCACAGACTCCTGGCATTTGATGTAGGCTTCATAATCCGCAAAGACTTTGAACCTAGAGCAGGGGGGGAAGCAGGAGGGCATCAAGCTGGGGGTCCTGGCTCATGCTGCCATCTGCTGCCCACAGCCGAGATGGATACTGGGTGCCTCTCTGAGTGTACAGCCAGAAGCAGACACCCAAAGCGCTGGGGAAACCCTATGCCACTGCCTCAGCTTTCCCTCACTATGGGTGCACTTGCGCCAACAGAACCCAGGAGTCCTGACTCCCTGCCCCCCAAATCACCAGACTCTTCTCCCCTTGTAGAGCTGGTAGAGTCAGTGCTTAACCTGTGCGGTTCTCCTTCCTGCCCCTGCCCTGGGGCCTGGCACCTCGTGAGCCTCGTGCCTCTTCCATTGCAAATTAAGCACTGAAGAGAGCCCCCTCCCACCACCCCCCCACCAGACTTAGCTGCCTTTGCCCTTATTCTGTCTCCCCAGAGCCCCTCACCTGGCATGGTTCATCAGCATGTTGACAATGTCCTTGAAGAGCTGGGGCTGTTTGGGGGAGAAGAAGCCGCTGTTCAGCTGGTCGATCACCTGTCGGAGCTCTGGGATGCGGTCATAATAGTCTTTAGCACAGTAACTGGAGGGGAGGTGAAGGAGGGAAGGTTACCTCAGGATCATGGCTTTGCCCCAGCCTGGTGTAGCTGCAGGGCTTCCTCCGCCCTCCACATCAGAAGCACCCAGCCAGGCCCCCCCAGAGGACTTCCCAAGCCTCCTGCCCAACCTGGCTTCCCCACCAGCCCCCAACTGAAACCCCAGTGGCATGGGCAGGAGATCCAGGCAGCGGAGCAGATTCTGGCAGCTAGGTTGGAGTGAGTAGAGTAGGTAAAGCGTGAATCCAGCTTGGCGGGGGGTGGGGGAGGAGGAGCCCAGCCCCCACCCTTTTCTGTCCATCTCGTCCACGTCTTCCACCCGCATGCCAAAGATGAAGAAGTTCTCCTCGCCCGCTTCCTCCGCCATCTCCACGTTGGCACCATCCATGGTGCCGATGGTCAGTGCCCCATTCAACATGAACTTCATGTTACCGGTGCCTGAGGCCTCTGTGCCAGCTGTGGAAATCTGCTCGGACAGGTCAGCCGCAGGGACCACTATGGGAGAGATGGGATTAGAGGGCTGGGATGGGAGGGCAGAGGTCACAATGGGGGGGGTGTGTGTGTGAAAAGGCCCATGTGCCTGATCTGGAGTAATGATGGGGGGAGGGGCAGGTGAGTAATGTGGGTCAGAGGTTGCCATGTGGGCTAGACCCAGCCCTGAACTGGTGTGGGGGAAGGGGGGCTAGAAATGAGAGGAGGCCACAAGGGAAAGATGCTCCATTGACCTGATCTGGGGTGGGAGACAGAGTGCCAGAATGGGGGGGAACCCAGGGGTCCATGCTCCCCATCTTTTACCTGCCATTAGGGTGAGCAAGAGGGGGAGGGGTCAGAGATGAGCGAGCAGGAACATGGTCTTGGGGGATTGGGCAGCGTGGGGTGGGGCAACATCTCAAGGAGAGGAGGGAGCACAAGGGGCGGAGTCACCCTTTGGGTGCAGATGGTTCTCCCAACTTTTAGGGATCTCCTGCTGCTCTTGGTGGGAAAATAGCGGAATCAGAAGTTGGCTGCGGCATAGATGGGCCTCTGGTCTGATATGGGACAGTGGTGGGGAGTACGGGGGGAGGATAGCAGGGTCAGAGGTCACAGCCTTCCTACCCTTCTCAGCAAGGGAGACGCGGTAGTTTTCCAAGAAGATCATCTTGAGGCGGTCACCGATGACGGGGTCGTTGTTGACAATGTCCCCAATGGCCGTGATCAGCTTAATGATCATCTTGGCCATGTGGTAGCCAGGGGCAGCCTGTGGGGCGGGGGGAAGAGGAAGGAGGGTGAGACTGTGGCCTAGCCCCCAGCCCTCACCTCCCACCAAGCCATGGCAGCACCAGGAGGGGGGGGCTTCCCCCAGGTCTCACCTTGCCGCCAATCATGACAGTTCGTGGCACAAATTGCTGGTTGGGATCCCTCTTGATCCCTGCAGGGGAATGGGGAGAGATGCAAAGTCAGGGCAGGTGTGCCAGGGAGCAGGGCCAGCAAGTGCAGCTTGTAGCTGGGCAGAGTCCACAGACTGGCTCAGAAGACCAGCAGCCGGACAGCAGCTGCTCAAAGCCTTTGCCACTGACAGCAATAGCCCCTGCCTAGCCCAGGCCCTGCCCCGTCCCAGCTGACCTAGCTCAGACCTTCTGCTCTTCTAGATGCAAAGTCAGGGCAGGTGTGCCAGGGAGCAGGGCCAGCAAGTGCAGCTTGTAGCTGGGCAGAGTCCACAGACTGGCTCAGAAGACCAGCAGCCGGACAGCAGCTGCTCAAAGCCTTTGCCACTGACAGCAATAGCCCCTGCCTAGCCCAGGCCCTGCCCCGTCCCAGCTGACCTAGCTCAGACCTTCTGCTCTTCT